CAATGGTATCAATGTGGATTTCACAAGTTTCAAAATCTCCACTCCCCCTACCGCATCCCAAAACCAGTCCAGCTCGTCCCTGCCTCCCTAACCTGTTCTTCCTCCCACCTATCCCCTCCTCCCACCTCAAGCCGCACCTCCATCTCCTACTGACCAACCTCATCCCGCCCCCTTGACCTGTCCGTCCTCCCTGGACTGACCTATCCCCTTCCTAACTCCCCACGTACACTCACCTTTACTGGCTCCATCCCCGCCTCTTCGACCTGTTTGCTTCCTCTCCACCTATCCTCTCCTGTATCCATCTTCTATCCGCCTCCCACTCTCTCCCTATTTATTTCAGAACCCCCTTCCCCTCCCCCTTTTCTGATGAAGGGTCTAGGCCAGAAACGTCAGTCTCTCTGCTCCTATGATGCTGCTTGGCCTGCTGTGTTCATCCAGCCCTGCACCTTGTTGCCTCGGATTCTTCAGCATCTGCAGTTCCTACTATCTCTTAATTCAACTAGATGAGTCTCTTGTAGTTAACAAGATATAGTTTATTGCATGTTATTAACTGGTTACAAGTTATATTGATATGATTCATACGATTACAATGACTTTGAGGAGGACCTGTTTATAGAGCTCGGTTGTTCAAAATCCTTAACAGTTCTGGCAACCAATCCAGATGATATCATCAGAAGGGATAGTGTTATGGCATTCCTCAGCATTAACCATTTCAGATCCACATACAACATGGACGAGATTTTGTCAATGGCTAATTACAATTCATAGGCACTTGGATTAAAGTTAAGGTGTGCTCGTGAAATAGAGACATTTTATAACCAAAGGGAGTTGAATAGGAGAAGCACCAAAGTACAGGTTGCTGCTGAAACTCAGAGTTTATTATCATTTTAGAAACAGAGAAGTCATTAGAGTTGTTGCTGATCTTTCTAAGACACCTAAAATTCAGTGATGTCTGGCTCAAACATTCATAATTCCTTTCTTGACATCATCAGCTTATCCCTTGAGGATACGTAGCACCTGAATGACTGAGGAGGTTGTATCATTATGTTTTTTTTAATGATAGCAGTCTGTTCCAGAATTGAACACAGTACTATTAGAAGAAATAGGAGTGCAAAGCCATCTGACAGTCATCTGAATTTAATTTACATTTAAGCACTCACTTCAGGTACAGTTCTGTTCTGTTAGCATGGATGTTAATTGCTGCTGAAAAAATTTCCCACTTGTTAAATGAAAACCTAAGTCTAAATTATAATGATCTGCATTCTCCTATCATCAATTTCAGCATTCATTCTGAAAACACAAGTAGGTTAGCACATAAAATAATGTCCTTTACTTGACTGTGTTGTGCCTTCCCATGTGTTCATGGTTTAACTGTATCAATCTTTTTTTGTAGGCTTTCCTTACAATAGAAATTTAGGGATCTACTTTTTCATAGGTATGATCTGAATATTTGACTGGCAATTCTCAATATCTTATTCCCCCTATCTTTCTTCAGTATTCATCAATTAATTATAGGAAGCTTAGTTAGACTGGAGAGCCATCTATTAACCCGATCTACATTTAATCAGTTTTATTTATAAGTGGCATTAATGCAGACTGAGCAACTTTTCTTTGTTCTGTTCTAAAATGCATTTGCTAAATTCATTAAACATGCCTTCACAGTAGAAGACACACAGCATATCTCGGGAAGAGTAGAAAAGCAAGTACAAAATAGAGGGAGAGACTTAAAAGAATAAAGTACTGCGAAACATTAAATGCATTAAAAGGTTGACAACTCCAGTGGACTAATAACCTTGGCAGGAGAGATTATGAATGTGCTGATTATAACCTTCCAAAATTCCTTCCATTCTTGAAAGACTGAAGGATCTCAGCATTAACCATTTCAGATCCACAGACGATATGGAGTAAACTTTGTTGATAGCTAAGTACAATAAATAGGCATTTGGAATAAAGTTAAGGTAGGATGGTTAAAGAGACATTTTACATAAGTACGCAGAATTGAACAGGAGGAACTGCAAGGCAGAGGCACAAACCACCATTATAATGGTACTACTCGAGATAGAATGAAACAGAGCACAAGAAACTGTTGCCCCAGTTATACTAAAGTTTGCAGCCCCAGTGCGGTCTTGTGAAAAAGAATTAGAGATCAACAAATTCATTAGAGTTCTTTAAGGATGTAATGAGCAGGATAGATAGAGAGGAAATCAGTAGATGTATAATTGTATTTTCAAAGGCATTCAATAAGGTGCCACATAATGTTTAGTGTACAAGAGCTCACTGTATTGGGAGTGATATGTTAGCATTGGCTAACGAGCAGGAAACAGGGAGTTAGGACAAATGGGTCACTTTCAGGATAGAAAACTGTCACTAGTGGAGTGTTACAGGCATCAGAGTTGATGCTTCAACTCTTTATAATCTATGTTAATGATCTAAATGAAGGAATTGACTGCATTATAACTGAATTTGCTGATGATACAAAAATAAGTGGTAAAGCAAGTTGCGATGGGATAAGGAGAGTCCGCAAAGGAATACAGATAGATTTAGTGAATGGCAAAAACTTTACTGATGGAGCATGATGTGGTAAAATGTAAACTTGTCTATATTGGCAGAAGAATAGAAAAGCAGCATGATATTTAAATGGAGAGAAATTGTAAAACTGCCATGCTGACGGATTTGGGTGCCCTGACAAATGAATCATAAAAGGTTGACATACAAATAATTGGAAAGCAAATGGAATGTTGGCCAATATTGCAAGGGGAATGAAGTCTAAAAGTGAGAATGTCTTGCTACAACTGTACAGTGCAATTTTGAGACTGCACCTTGAGTGCTGGTATCATTTTGATCTCCTTAACTAAGAAGGGATATACTAGCTTTGGAAGCAGTTCAGATAATGTTTTTTAAACAAATTCCTGGCTGAAGAACTTGTCTTATGAGGAAAGATCAAGTAGGTTGGCTCTACACTCTTTGGAGTTTAGGAGAAGAGGTGATGTTATTGAAATTTTAAAAGAAAGCTTCTGAGCGGGCTTCACTGTGTAGATACTAGGACAATGTTTCTCCTTGTGAGGGGATCTAGAATGAGGGGGTAGAAATTATAAATAAAATGGTGCCTATTTGCGGTGGAGATGAAGAGCAATTTCTCCTCCCAGAGAGTTGTTAGTCTTTGCAATTCTCTTCCCCAGAATGCAGTGAGGGCTAGATCATTGAATATATTCAAAACTAAGATAGATTATTAACTGCTGACGGAGTCCAGTGTAATGGGGAGTAGGCAGGAAGGTGACATTTAGGCCACAATCAGATCTTATTAAATGGTGGAACATTCTTGAGGGAGAAATGGCTTACTCTTGCTTTCACTTTTTTGTGATCATGCAAAAGTGAATCATACATTTCACAATATTTACAATATAAATCCATATATAGTTGATTAAATAAATGAAAGGCCATGAATCTGTTTAAATGATGTGCAGAGTTTACCATCGCTGAGAAATGATTTCTATCCTCCTTTTACAAATGCAATAATAATCTTAAATATTACATGTACCCATTTGGATTCTTCAATTTTCTCCGGCTTATCCACCAACAGCAAAATAAATGCTTGGGAACCTATCAAAGATGGCAAGCATGCAGCTGAGAAGCCAATATGACTGTCACTTCATTCCCTACCCAACAATTTCCTTCTGATTCTAACACTTAGGCGTGTCAATCACATTCTGTTTGTGGGTTTCCCAGGGGTGGCAGGAAGGATGGGGTTAGTGAATGCTGGGCCAAATGTTGCAGGAAAAAGTTGGAGTTAAAGGAACCTTGGGAAGGGTCAGATCACTAAATTGTACATTAGTTCCTTTGGTTTCTCCAACAACAGGAGTGGAAAGGAGGCCAGAGAATTTTGCGATACCTATCCTGCCCCACAACTCCCTAATCCAAGTCTTGAACACATCCAATCATTTCCAAATCAAAAAAACACTAAAAAAAAATAACTGCAGATGCTGGAAATAAGAAACAAAAACAGAAATTGCTGGAAAAGCTCAACAGGTCTGGCAGTTTCTGTGGAGAGAAATCAGAATTAATGTTTTGGGTCCAGTAACCTTTCCTCCAAACTAGGTTAGGGTTAGGGTTAGGTTTAGGTTTAGGGTTAAGGAAGTGTCATTGGACCCAAAATGTTAACTCTGATTTCTTTCCATAGATGCTGCCAGATTTGCTGAGCTTTTCCAGCAATTTTTATTTTTGTTTCCAATCCTTTCCAGTTTCCTGGGGACTGGTGCCCTGGCAAATTGTATAACTAGGATTGTCAGTAGGGCTTTAAACTAATTAATGGCAGGCTGGGGAGGAGGAAGAGTTCAATTTTAGGTAGTTTAAAAGTCACATAGAAATGAGAAGGGTGCAGGGTAGCGAAGGAAGGGAAGGATAATCAATGTATGACAGGAAGGGGCAGAAAACATAAGCAGAAGACTGCAGGAGAAATTACAGCTGGCGTAAGTACTAATGGTAAAAAGTTAAAGCAGAAGATTTTTTATTTGAGTATATGCAGTATTTGCAACAAGATAGATGAGTTGACTGTACAGATAGAAATAAATGAATATTATTAATAGTTATTATGGAGACATGCTGAAGACTGTAAATGCAATTTTCAAAGATATTTGATGTTCTGGAAAAATAAGCAAAAAGGAAACTCTGGTGGGATAGCATTGTCAATAAAGGAAGGGGTCAGTGCAGTGATAAGTAATTACGTATATGCAATAGATTGTGATATGGAATCAGTTGGGTGGAAGTAAGGAATAGCAAAGCAAAGAAGTTATGAGTGAGAGTGTCTTCAATTGCAGGGTGTACACAAGTGGCTCTTTTCAGATTCAGTTAAATGTAGTTAAGAGAAGGCTTTACAACAACAATTTGCTTAAATATGAACATTTATTGAGTAATAATAAAAGACTAAAAGAAAAGAAAGGAACTTTTATTAATTAAATAAAAAGAATGAAAAAAAAAGAGATGAGGAAAACAAAAAGTCTCACGCTGTTTTTCCTGTCGGTGTCCCCTCGATCGACGGCTGGACTGGATGCTGAGCTTGTTCCTGGCACTGTTTGCGATCCCGGTCCCAGGTGAAGGCCAACAAATTGGAACAAAGCTCTCTCTCTTATAAAGTGTAACAAACAGCAAGGCACAGAGAAACAGCTACAGAAAAACATGTCAATTTTGCCGGCTTTGGCACGTACAGGAATGTTCACAGGACTCATTCAAGGTCACGCAGCTGTCGAATATCATCAACAAGTTTAGCACTTCAGCTCATCCTACACAATTCACCCCTGATGATATTTGACAAGCCATGTTACAATTGCAGCCACAGACGCAAATCAACGACAGCCGCACAAGAATGTATAATAAGAGTATGTAACCTACACAGGAAGATTAAAACTACAATAAAAATGAACATCACCAATACGAACAACACTAGGGTGCATTATCAAATTAATGATGCAGTGGCCTTTGGGAACGAAACCTTAAATATATATCCCACCCCTGATGTACAGTCAAGGCCGTGATGAAACTGACAAGTCATGCAACCTGACTGAGGCAACCTGAATATTTCCTGTTTTTTTTCCAGCTAATCTATTTACATTATTTGCTCTAAATTTCAGTATATTCCAGATTTAGATTCCTTAATTTGTGTTTGTTTTTAATTCTCCAGTTCCCTATCCACAGATCACTTCACCCAATAACTGTAAAATAACATCAAACGTGCACTCAAAATTTCTCCAGCTCTTTTCACCTGTATCCGTCTCGATGATACTTCTTCAATGTCGTTTGTTTTTTGCCAATTTTATGAATGATTGTATCATTGAGTGGTAACCACTTCCATTTGAAGTATCCCATTTGAGCTACAATATACGTGGTGTCAAACAATACAGCTCTAACATTCATCAGGGTTTACCTTCAACTTATGCTTCCTGCCTTTTATTTTCCCTGGGGCTCCCTTACTACACCACTTCATTCTTAGCTCAGCCTTCTCTCACATACACTAACTGTACTAACACATTACAATTCCACCTATTGGTTTAGTCATACAAACGCTCAAGATGGGGTATCTGTATGTCAGCCAATGGGCCCTTTCACTCAGTCCACTATTACTCCTCCCAGATTACACATTCTTTCATTTCTGTAACATTTTGACTCAATAGCCAATCATTTTTTTTATTTTGATTGTAATTCTTTTTACATCCATTTCACTAATATTACTTTCATTGTTTTAAAGTCAGTTTCTCTATGGATTTTGTGTCAGTATTGTATCGTTTAAACAATGTTTTTGTGCTCTAAGCCATTAATCCTTTTGTCCCGTAGATGTACATGTCTGAGACCGCTCTTCGGTGCATGTTATTGTACCGTCTCATGTTTATAACCTCCGAGGTAACATTCACTTTTGCACACTTATATCGGTATCCCAAGACCATGTCATGTATTCCTGACTCCCACATGACCTTATCAAATGATCTATGAGGTTTCACTTATCTCTCCACATTTGGTCCTGATGCCTCGGTTAGTGGCTTGATCACCAATTCAGTTTTCTTAAGAAGAAAGACAAGCACACAAACATCACCGAGAGAGCTATCAGTTAGGTAGTCTCATCTAAACTTCCTTTTCACTAAAATGCAATTTAACCTCAATGGTCATTTCAACTCATTATTCTAATTTTTCTTTTTGTCTTCTGCCACCCCTAACTACTTTGTCTCATCCAATTTTGCAACTTAGTTATTACCACCTTATCTAATTCCAGAGATCTGTAGAAATTTGCAGTCCATGGAACATAATCTTATAATATTTTAAGACAGAAGTTAAATATTTCTATTTGATTCAGGGACAACATACTTCTTTTGTTCTTTGTCTAAGATGACCCACATTTTTTAAAAAAATTAATTGATCACTCATTCTAGATATTTGATATATATCTATGTAAATTTGTCCAAATTCAATGTTGTGTTTACTCCCTTGAAGTTACTAATCATTTTCCATATGCATTGAAACCACAGAACATGTCTGCATGCACTTTATCATTTCCCAGAATCCCTTTAAATTTTCAGTTAAATATTTAATTTAAATGTTTTAGAATACCAGGACACATGAGTCTTAATATAATTTTTGTCATGATGTGCTGAAGTGTACTCAGGCTCAGTGGTTTTGAGATTCCTTACACTCGCTACAATTAATATTTCCACAGTACTTCCCCAACACTGAAATGTGTTACTGATGAATGGCTTGATGGATTGAGGCTGTTTCATCCATCATTGTGTTGCAACAGTGGAATTTTACAAACGGATTCAACCTTCAGTGTCTCCACTTTCTAAAAAAAACAAACAAGCTCCATCCATTCCACATCAGGCAGAATGTGTTAATTAGTATTAATCCACTATGGATTCAAAATGGTGGAGCATAAACTCCTTCACGTAATTACATCATCTATCTCTCCTCCCCCTTGAAGGAAGGAAAAGCTCACTCCTTTGTTAAATTTGCCTTTCCTAAACTCCTCACACACAGGGAATTGCATTTTCAATATGCCAATGTCCCTATCACTAGGATATTAACAATGAGTCAATCTTATCATCCGGAATTAAAGATTCACTCATGTTAAAATAAAAGAGAGGAAAGAAACAAAAAGGCCTCACACATTCTGCCCAGCAGGGACCCCTCAATTGAGGCAGAGGTTGTTCCTGGCATCGTTCGTAATCCCGGTCCAAGGTGAAACCAGCAACTTGGAAAGAAACTTTCTGTATTATTCAGTGTAACAATTAGCAAGACATAGAAGGACAACTACAGGGAAACACATCGATTGTGCCGGCTTCGGCACATATAGGAATGTTCACAGGACTCATTCAAGGTTGTGCAGCTGTCGAAGATCATCAACAAGTTTAACCCTTCAGCTCATCCTATACAGAGAGTCAACCATAGGCCCCAGGAGAATTAACTCACTACAAGACAAAGTAAAAATCAGTAAGAAATAGATTACATAAGATGTACCTTCTTGAGATATCATTATAAAGGCATTAAAAATTTAATTGAACATTTTGCTTTGGTCTTCACATTGGAGGACACTATAAATATCCCAAAGATATCGGATAAGTAAAGGACTAATGGGAGAAGAAGTCTTATCATAGTCTCTATAATAAGCGACAAATTATTTGACAAACTAATGGGATTGAAAACAAACAGGTTGCTAGGACCTGAGGACTGTATCCAAGGGTTCAAAAGAAATTGGCTGCAAAGATAGTGCAGATGTTAATCAAAAGATTCCAGAACACTCCAGGATCTGGGAGAGTCCAATAGATTGGAAAACTGCCAATGTGATACTGTTGTTCAAGAAGGGAGACAGAAAGCAGGAAGCTATGGTCCAGTTAGCCTAACATCTGCTGTTAGGAAATGCTAATATACGATATTAAGGAAGAATTAGCAGGACATTTAGAAAAACTTCAGGCTATCAAACAGAGTCAACATGATTTAATGGAAGGGAAAAGACATTTGATAAATTTGTTAGAGTTCTTTGAGGATGGAACAAGCAGAGTTGATAGAAGGAAACCAGGAGATGTCATTCATTTAGTTTTCCAGAAGGCATTCAAAAGGTGCCAGATAATAGATTATTGCAAAACGTAGGATCTTGGTATTAAGGGTAATTATTAGCATGGACAGAATGTCAGGATTATTTTTTTCAGTTTAGAAAGACACAGCTGGTGGAGTGCTAACCACTGAACCACCATGCCGCCCCATATTTCATGTGACCTGAACCTCTGTCTGCCAATCCTGAAATTGGGGTTAAACCTCCTTTAAACCAGCTGGACCTCTGCATCCATTCTCTTTCATTTAATGTTGAAATGTGGTGGATTAGGGACTAATGGTGGTGTAGCCCCTATTGTTCCTGGCCATGTTTACATTGATGTTAGTCAGAGGCCCAAGGCAAAACTGCATAAGCTGCTGCAATACTGAAGTAAAGGCTGATGGTAAAATGTGAATCAAAATGAACAAATTGCAAGACAGGTGCACTGACATTCAAAAGTTAGAAATCACCGTCAAACAATAAGAGCAGTCTCTGTATATGGTGAACACCAGCTGTCATAGGTATGGTTTCAGCTCTTCAGGTGCAATGTTGGATGGCTATTTCATTAAACAATTGCTCAATTGCTCCCCATCGTACTCTCGCCTCATTGATCCTGGTGTGATGAAGAGAGTCCAGGAAATGTGTGCGCTGGCTATTAAAGCCAGAATGCAAGACTAAATTCAAAGTTAATTACCTGTTTACATTCCTTAATGACTTTGCTGACAGCTGCGCAGGGGGTTCCTGTTCTGCTACAAGCCAGCCCAGGTCAAAACAGAACGTGTGTGGATGTTGTAGAGTTCCAAACCAATGTCATTTAGATATTTCTGATCGACCTGTTCAGAGATGTTATTACACACCACTGGAGAAGATGGGACTTGCACCCAAGCCTCCTGGCCCAGAGGTAGACCAGCTGCCACTGTGCCACAAGGGCCCTCTCAGTGTCATTTGTCAAAGATTTAACCTCAAGCCTGGCAATTAAATTTCTTTTCAAGCAATTGTATCTCATAATTGTTGATTATAATTATTCATTTTTAAAATTCTTTCAAAAGGCACACACTTAAAAACCTCAATTCTAACTTGATGATTTTTGACCAAGTCTCTCATTTCTCAGAGTTATCATCAAAAATTGTGATACTAATGTTTCTCATGCAATTCTGCTATGTCAAACGTCACTGTTTTTTTGCTAGACCTGGGGATTGAGTTCCTGAAGTCCATTTCCCAAACTTGTGCATGAACATCTTGAAGAGATGATTTGAAATTTACATATCTGTGGAAACAGGATTGTTGTGGATTATCAATGTACTCCATCTGATATTCACTGTCTTCAATGAAAACAGACTTGGAAATAAATCTTTTTAATTCATCAACTTTTAATGGGTAATGTCATGAGTTATTTACTAGTACGCAGACAAATATTGAATCCCAACACATGCATACCATAGTGAACACTGTGACATGAATAAACAGTGACCCTGGGAGCAATCTCATTCGCATTGTTAAGCTGATATGCTTTGAAATGCTTCCAA